CATTAGCACAGTTGTTGCCAGCTGCGCTAATATGCAGTAGAATTAGTCCAATGTGCATTAATTGTCTCATGTTGACATGCCCAATAGAAACCAACCAGGAAACTGATTAAATGCAGCCAATAGTGAGCATAACTGTCAAGTACATGGTCCATATGGAACAAACATGCTGATGGGAACCCACTTTTTAATGCATATGGCCCTTAAAAAAATGGACAATTGCCTCCCCAGGAGGGTACAAGCCCTGGAGGTACTGCAATACTAGGCCAGCCTGGAGGTACTGCAGTACTGGCTGGTACTCAGGAAAGCTGCAACAAGCTCTGAAACCCTCCCCTGGTGCCAAAAATACAAATGGAAACCTTTTTTTTGTGGTCATTAAAAGAATGGGTGGGTGTTCCCTCTGCAGGGAACTGGCACCAGGCCTGGAGGTACTGCAATAATAGGCCAACACTGGGAGAGCCAGAGCTGGCCCTGACACCCTCCCTTTGATACTAAAAATGCTTCATTTAGCTAAAAGGCTGAGATGCTGATGGGAGCTTGCCAAAAAGATATGTTAGTGCAGCCTATCTGAATAAGACATATGGTAGTGTCCATTAAGTGCAATCTCCCTCAGCACCCACTCTTTTTTCAAGTCATGGTAAGTTGCTTCATTGCATACATTTCAACTTCTTCAGTCCCACAGCTGAGCTGCACCTTTTTTTCCCATTTCCAATAAGTCCTATTTCTTCACTAGCCTTAAATGTCTGGCAAACATCACCAAATGAAGCCCTAAACAGTTTACCCAGAACCCCTCTGTCATCCCATCTCTCAGCCTGTTGCGTATGATTAGTATGCCCACACCCTCTGTAAGGTGAAGCTGGACCACATTGTCCTGCGTCTCGTCTACATATATATTTTGGAGTATCCCAGGACTCATGACAAGACCACTTGGTTCCAGTCATAAGTGGGGGGATAATTAGTACACGGATCCTTTGTGTGGTGTATCTGGAGTACACACAGATAGTTGGCAGTGCTGAGCTGTGGGGTCACCATGAACTGAAATCCTGCTGACTCTGCTGGGGCCCAGCCCAATGTTCTGTATGGTAAAACATGAGCTTTTTGGTATAGTTTGTGCTACATATAAGGAGGTGCTAAAGTGGTAATTAAAGGTGTGTTTATAAAGTACCTGTGCTAAAACTTGCAGCTGTTTCAAAAAAGGTAAAAGGCATCAATTCTGTGTGATCTAAGTCTTTATACTATACACAAATTGCTCCAGATGTGTCTAGTTCCAAGTCAGTGTTTTCAGATTTGTTCCTCACTTCCATGTGCTCAGGGAGAGCAGGGTCTGACAGTAAAGAGAAAGGAAGGGACTGCAGGGGGAAGAAGTTTGGAGAGAACAGAGGGAAAAGCAGCTACCTGACACCCCCTTCCCCCCTCAATTTGTTTTTCCTGCTATAGTAGTGGGAGGGGAAATGAGTTCAAGGCAAACCTCCAATAATTATATTTTATACTTGGAAAATGATATCAAATTAATAAATGTTCCCTATATAGCATCGAATTATTGGGGGGTTGTCTCATAATCAGGGTCACCTTATATTCAAATAAATAATGGTACATGGCTTGAGAATAATTCTGGGATCTTGGAATGAAGTCCAGAATGTTTTAAAAGGGTATGCATGCTATACGACTTGGTTCCTCCTACTAGTAGGGGTTTTCTGCTCCCTGCATACTAGACACAGTTTTGGCATGGCATTTTGGTACAGTAAAGAAGATGACAATGAGAAACTGAACAGATGTTCAGCGCAGACAGACACTTTAAAAGAAATTATGCATTTGTTGTCTTGTGAATTATTCTTTTTAAGAAGCAATCATTTAATACAAGGGAAGACTAAAAGGAAAAATAGAAATAATGAGAAAAATGCAACAAGTTATTCTACCAATGTAGCTGAATCCACCTATGGACCAGAAAAGAACTGTCATCAAATACCATTTTTTCCCTGTCCTCTGAGTTAAGAGATTTTAAAGCTTTCTGGCTGCAAATCTCCTGGTACAGGATAAAAGAAAAAATCCTCCTTTCTCATACATAAGACAGGTAAATATGCAAGAAACAGTTTGGAACAAGTTAAATGGTGGCAGTACAAGGTTACTAACATAGTGTCTTGAAACATACACCCGTTTGTGCATGACATGATCTATATAGAGAGAAACATGACACAAGCTACCATTTATCCACACCCCCTCAATATTTGAGGCAATCACAAGAAGTTCTTATTCTCAATGATCTTTTAAAAAACTTAACTAGTATGGAATAGATCTCAAAGATTCAGATTCTAAGTTTAGAAAAGTAGGAGTTATAAGAGGAATATTTTCTCATGCTTATGCATATCGATCAACTGTGATTATTGATATGGAACAGGTTTAGCTCATCTGGAAACCTAGTCAGCTCTTTCTTCACAAGTGCTTCTCCCTACCACACTGTACTTAAGCTTGCTCAGCTATATCCACAGACTAAAACTACTTCCTACAGCATTCATATGCTGTGGACTGTTCTCTTTCTGCACTGGCTAAAAAGAATAGATATCTCAGCCTGATGAAAGGGAACTGGGTTCTATGAAAGATTACAAGCCCAGATAGAAATGCAAGTTTTGCTTTAGTTCTCTTTTTCACATCTTCTCCCAGATGCAAAAGGAGGTACCATTGCCTTTCACTGTGGTACTGAGATTTCTATTGCTGTTATTAATATAGGACCAGAGCCAGACAAATGCTGAGCACCATCAAGTCTCACTGAAGTCACTGGAAGTGGAAAGGTGCTAAGTATCTTGTTCCATAAAATCTATCAGGGGTGGAGTGATTTCCTGTATGTACTGATGTGCTTCATTATCCTATGATTCTCCTGGGATATTCTGTGGTTTAGTAGCTCATTGTCCAAGGGAATGATCTCTGCCAGAAGATATAAAACTGTCTGAAGTATAAGGTCCTATGATTTAAAAGGTACAAATATTAAGATGAAATATGTCTCTTTTGAAAATAAAGTCTATTGAAAAAAATCTACTTGCTGAATAGACCGTGTTTGTAGTGCATGTACTTCTAGGGTCTGAAGAAGCTGATCATCACTTGTACTGGACACTTGTAATATGTGGTTATTATAGTGATTTCAGAGGCTGGGACGAAAAGAGGCTGTCTTACACTCTCCAGGCTGAGGCTGCAAGCAGTGGTTATCTGTGATAACTGTCCTTGTTACAGCTGTCTGGACAATTACAGACTCTTCATATAGATTGAGTTATAGAACCCGAAAAGATGAGTTCTAAGTGAGTGTTAGTTAAACAGGTTTTCAGAGTATTGTTTTTATCACAAAACACACAACAAATTTAGGTGAGGTCAGGTCACTCTTATTTGCTTGAATTAATACCTTATCCCTTTGGTAGCCTCAGTGGTTTCAGTGGGATTACTCACAGAGTAGGGGACTCTTAAGGTGGGGGTGGCTAAAAATGTATCTTATCGGCAGTTTAGGGTTTTAAATTAGTTAAGAGAAAGCTTGTGGTTTATTATAAAATCTTAAATAACATGTTGGCAAAGAAATCAAATGAGATTTGATATTCATTAAAGTTCCCCACCTTTTTCTTCATTTGGGTTGAATATTTAGTGCTCCTACAAACACTGTCATGAATGAAGTCAGAACAAACATCTGAGGTCCAGGCCATCCATGCCCACACTTCATGTGCAGCATAGGGATGTTCTCTTAGCTTCCTCTTAATCAGCCTTTACAGATCATTCCATATGTGTCTGAGCACCTTTGTGTTTTCAACAGTGTTGATTGGACGAGGACCCTGTTTGTTTTGTACTTGTGCCTTTTTTAACCAAATCCACCTTCAGTGCTCCTAATTCCCAGGAGATGATTCAGTGACACTGCAGCAACAGTTATTTGGGTGATGGGAACATCTTCAGTTGGCTATAGAAGAGCCTGCAGAGAGGCACTGGCTGTCGCAACAAATGACGTTGAAGCAAGAGCATATCTTTAACTCATAACAGGAAATGCAGTGATCAGCTGTTTAATAAGAAATGTGGAAGTGGATTACAATACATCTTCTCCTCTTTTTGCGATGGAGTAAGTTTGTTTGCACAAATCTAAAGGAATTTTCTATATAGAATTCTTTTAATTGATCTTTTAACATTCCAAATCTTTTGCTCCCAGCCCACATTTTCTATGCCAAACAAGTGGCACAACAGGGCCATAAAGCTGACCTAAAAATCATCTTGGGATTTCCACAGTAAAATGGAATTTCTGGCTGTCAGAGCCATTTGTGTGTCAGGGTATGTTGGGGTGGTTTGGCTGTTCAGCGCTCCAACAGCAGGGGTGCTTCTAAGGAGGTGCGGCAGCCAATATAAAAAACAGCAGTCTGTTGGTGTTCTAAGATCAGGGGACCAAAAAGCAGGCCTTAAACCTCCTTGGGTCCTGTACAATGAGGCTCCAGCCTTTAGTATTGTTCACTTATACAAAATAATATTTCAGCAGTACACAGGAAAGCTAGTGTCTTAGATATGGGCTGTATATCGTATATACATACAATTATAAAATGTAATTTTCCCCATTATTATATATGTACTTTGGAGTAACAGGATGGATTACATAAATGCACAGAGTGGTATAATTTGCATGTGTGAAATTCTGCTTACAGTGCTGTGAGCGGATTATTTGGAAGAGTAAATGATTTATCATCAGATGGAAAGGGAGTGATGGAGAGAAAAGCATCCTAGGTGTTATGATAATAAAAAGAAATAAAAAGAATAAATATGAAAGGTTGACTAAAGCTCTAAGTCTTTTTGATATCTCTCACAGTAAGCTAAAATAGCAAAATCAGCTGAAAGTTTATTCCTATGACATTAAAGTCTAAATAACATTAAAATAAAGAAAGTACAGTGACAAAATATAAATCATATTGTTCTACTTAAAACAGTGCATGCTTAGATCAGTGCAGCAAATGATATTTTTCACGACTGAATGATAACATAAGTTTGTTACCTACCTTAAGTTCTCTAAAAAAGATGCTACTCCTTGCCCACTCAACAATGGAGAAGAGGGTTTGGTCAGCCATTTTACACATAAGCCCAAATGTGTTGAGCTTTTCATGTTTGCTTCTGTTGGCTTGCTCTTGCTGCAAGTATGCCATGATCTTAGCCTGGACTTGTGGCTCATCTGGCTCACATTTCAAGAGTTCCAATATCAGATGTGGAATACTTGCTGGTGAGCTTGTCTGATAACTATCCATGTATGAGTAGCCCATTATTGACTCTGGGGAGCTAGTGTACGGGTCAGGGTACTCAGACTTGATAGCACGGCTTTGAAAGTGGCCATAGGTCTGGTAACCTTGCAGGCTGCCATGAGGTGGCATTGTCATACTAATTGGAGAGGTTACAAAGGGACTTCGGTCATAGTCTGTAGGAGGCAAGGCAGCATGGTTCAGAGGTAGGCCTTTGGAGGCAGAATGGATATTCTGAATTGCAGAGGATATTGTCAGGTCAGTGGGCATTGCTTGGATCACCTGAGTCATGGCTTCCAGTTTAAGTCCATTTGCACGGATAAGAGCTTTCTTTTGCTGCTTTAGTGCCCTGTCTCTCTTGTACATTGGTCCAAATTTATTTCGACCACCACGCATTCGGTCAGCTCTCACAGCTGTTGGGGGGAAGAGAAGGCAGTGAGATAATAATTAAAACTTTAAGAAATGCCATTCTTCAGAGGAATACAATTTTTTAAAATAGTGGCAATTTAAACAGTGCTCCTTTATTATACTTTGATCAAACAGCATTATTGTTCCAGGAGGAAAAAAAAAGTTTACTGAATTTTAAGTTTCTTGATTACATTTAGCCATCAGATGCATATTAATATATCTGGACTTTTGTTTACATCACCTGAGGTATAAAGATTAGGGACAAATACTGCTGGGCTATAGGAACTTCACACCTATCAGAAGATAACTTGCGATTTCTGTTGTGATCTCCTCATATATATTTTACTTCAAGCCACAATATCCTTAGGAAGCAATGGCTTATGGCCAGAACTTGTCTGAGAAGTATCTGGAATGCCACATTATCCCATGATAATCATTCAGGTACTGCTTGCCAACACTACACAAAAAACTGCCTGAAACAGGCTACAAAATGCTCAAAAGACATAAAAGTGAATATGATTTTTCTTGCAAAACAGGAAATACTATTTCCTTTTTGTTATTTTAGTCACATTTGTGCAAACATTTAAGGAACATTTCCAGTTTTCCCTGTTTCTAGAGATGTTTTCAAATGCTATAATGCACTTAGGGGAGGGCTGCCAGCAAGTTGTATACTGTGCAGAAGATTGAACTGACTCAGGAACTATTGACACTGTTCTGGCTTGTAATATTTCTGGAATTAAAAATAATTAAAACAAATCCATTTCAACAGCTGCCTTGGGAGTCATATTGGTGGTCTCTGTCACAGTAGTATCTGTCACTGTGGCATATATCTAATGGACTAGTGAGTAGTTCTCACCAAGCCCACCTTGCCCACTGGCAATTAGGTAGAAAGAGGAACCTTTGACAGCTTGGTGACATGTTGAGACTGCTGAGATTGCTGGAGGTTAAGTTCTTGAGCTTTTTATCTTAGGGATTAGTGTAACATTAAAAATTTATTATGAATCCTAGGTACACATAATACTGTACATTATCATAAAGACTTTAACAATTAATGATTTTTGGTCTACACAGTAATTTATGGACTAGACTTTAAGACCATATATCACTATCAGGGAAATACACATATAAATGTCACAGGCATTTACAATTATGAAAGCCACATTCTTCCAGTTTTTCAGATAGAGGAAGGGAAGCTGCACAGATGGCAAAGAAAGGGGATATAAAGGTAAGTCTTTTAGAGGAACCTGAAAAATAGTTGTATTTTACTAACTGCTGCAGATAAATATTTTTGCTGCTAGCATTATACCACATGGGTAAATTGCAGGAAATGAAAAAGTCATAATAATTTTCTTGGTGTAAGTAACTAACTTTGCACACACATGCACATACTTTTATTCTCAATATAGTTGTAATGTGCTATACAACTAACTCCGTAGGCCAAATGTTACTTGCAGATACTTCTGTGCAATCAAAATGAGTTTAATGTAATAATTTAAAAGCAGGAATTAGCTATATATGATTATCAGTAATTAAAAAGAGTTAAAAGCAGCAGCAAGTAGATATATAGTTTACTTAGCTCTAAATGTCAGTACTGACAAATGTATTTCTTGATGGCCTGTTATTTTACTATCTGCATTTAAAAGGGATATACCGAAACCCAAGATGTTCAATTCTGTGTTAAAACATTCATATTAGCTGCATGTTGTGGCCATGCATACTGAGCATTATACTCACTATATTGCACAAATTTGCTTCTTATTTTGAATGTATGTCTTCATTTATATCCACAGAATGCCATTATTATGGGGATGGTCAAGCCTGATCCTGAAGTTTAATTACCTCAGACAAAACCCCCATCCATTATAAATTAAAGTGTTGCATGAGAAAGGAATGCGTGTTTTTAATCCTGTGGTTCTTTGCCAGGAGAAATGCTACCGTCTATGAAATGTATATATTTGATTTTAAAAGTGAAGAATATATTGTGGTGAACCAGCAGGATTTCAGTCTCTTGAGTGTAATTTTTCATAGTATTTACATTCTTATTTTCTGTGTGTAAGTGATCATAGTGAAACAAATCTTTCATTTTCCTTCAACTTTTCAAAAACTATATATGATTAGGAAAATGTGCCCATTTATATTAGCTTTAGGACATGCTTTTAGAGATTGTTTTAACAATAGTTTAGCCCAATCCTGTACTGTTTCACTGGACAGAACTCCCATTGAAGCAAATGGTAATTCTGCATGAGGAAAAACTCCTATTTCTCTCCATTTCATGTTTTCTTTAAAATGGATATAGCATAAATACACTTTATAAAATAAAATTATTCCTCACAACAAAGGTCAGAATTTAGTAACAACTACTAATGTTCCCTGTATTGAAAAAGGTGTATTTTATTTTTAGCCCAATTTATTTGCTTTTATAGGAACAAATAAAGTGTCCAGCTTATAATGTCTCTTCATCTGTGAATTTTTAAATACACTGAATATTACAAATCTGGTTAATTCAACAGCTTTCAATTTGTGTATGTTTTAACTACTTTTTAACTTAGACGACTTTTTAACAATTATAAACAGGAAAAAAACCACCTTGATTTAAAACATACAATACCGGCATGTCATATTTTAATACCAAATATTTAAAAATTATTATGGTAAATGATGTGTATAATAATGTGTATAGAGCAAAAATACATGCAATATTTTAATAGTTAACATACTGTATAGGTAATAGTACAAACAATACTACAATTCTTACCTTCTAACTTCATTCCAACACTTAAACATTTTTGAAATCGACAGTAAGGGCAACGCTTTCTCTGTGTTTTGTCAATCTGGCAATTCTGATTTTCTATACATGTGTACCTTTTGTTATTTTGGACTGTTCTCTTAAAGAATCCCTGTACGACAGATAAAGAAAAGTTAGCCCATTTCATTTTAACAGTAGGCTTCAGCGTTTCATTTTATGGAAAACATTGTCAAATATTTTTCAAACACCACTCAAGTGCTTATGAGGTTACATGGTTTATTTTAGATTTCAGCGAGATATACCCTGGAGAAAACTGCCAAGCCATCGAGGAGGTTTTCTGGTATGAGTGCTGCGTTTTTGCAGACTTACGTCAAAGCTTGGAGAGACCTGCCTGTAAACCTCTGTATTCTGAACAATGGGGACCAGAACTACTGATGCTGACCTGTCTTTTGTGTATTTTTCAGCATTTCGAAAATGACTGAAATTTGCATATCAAGTGACCCTATATAGAGTAAATGAGAATGTTGGTGCAAATATAATAGGAATACAGACTATATCTGTTCATTGTACATAGCTATGACGTATACTAGAGTCATACCAGATACTTGATATTCATATCTAATTACAGATTTTTACAAAAGTATGATTGTCCAGGTTCATTTTACTTTCTATCCAGTGAAGTGTTTTTACAGTGCATTGATTTACATGATCATATAGAACCTTACGAGGTTTGTTCATGACAACCTATTCTATAGAATTTCATTATTTTACTTAAAAGGCTCCTTGTTTAACAGTTAACATCATTACATCTGAATTTAGTTTCCAATAGGCTAGGTTGAAGGTGAGTATATACTTTTATATTAACGCATTATTTTATAAGATAACTTTTCTTGACTATCATTGCTTGTTTCCAAGTAAATATTGAAATAGAATATTTTGTAGAAAAAATAAGCATTAAATCATGACAACAGAACTTTATATTGTTATACTGAAAGATTAACATCTTAGAACAACTACATTAGATTTTGTAAAGTTGAAATTTATTGAAGATACTACTTTTTCACTTTATCCTACAGAACAATAATACTCTGAATGTATATAAATCAACTAAAATCAATATTTAGGACAGTTAGGAATGAAAGTCTTTCTACAACTACATCACTTCACAACAACAAAATATTTAAAAGCGGCAGAGGCAGTCACACTGGAAAACAACCAGACTGGTGTTTTTTACATTTCTGCAAATGAAGTCTCTTTCTCTCTCTCTCTCCAAGAGGCTTCTGTATTCTGAAGAGGATTTGTTTTAATTTTGTGCATCAATCAAATCAAGAGAATCAGAAAGAAGCCAAACTACATATCTTTTTTTTTAAACCAACATTTTTCCTTTACTTATATGAAACTATTTTGCTTCATCATCTATTAAATAATTTATACTAAACCTTGCAGCTTTCACAGGTGAGGAGTCCATAGTGGTACCCAGACACTTTATCACCACAAACTGGACACAGCTCTTCAAGGTCTTCATCATAAGAATAATTCACCATTTTAAACTGAGACACTGGAAAACGCAAAAAGAACACATTCAGTGATCATTTACATAAATAGTTCAAATCCTTTCCCTCTCCAACTATCATATCCACTGGGATCTAGGGAAACAATTCATGAGAGAGAACCACCCTCTGCAAATTAAATACAAACTTTTTTTAAAGAAGAAAAGTTCACATTGGAATATGCAATTCTTCATGATCAGCAAAGCAATAGAGCTTCTTAACAAGTGAACAAAAACATAAATGTCATAGTTTTATACTCTTAAGAAACAAAGGTAGAGTTTGACAGAACTGCAGTGCTCTTGGACCAACCTATAGCCTATGGAAACAAAAACTAAGTCAAGTCACTTCATTTCACCACTTATCATGAAACATGCTTTTAGAAGTCAGAATGAAAACTGTCAAGATTAAATGTCACTGATGTATTTCAATTAACTTTAACTCCACTGGTTTCCTTTGAAGTTCGGTTAGAATACCAATCTGTAAATATTTGTCTAACTTAAACTTGAAATCAACATAGCCAGCACTTTTGTGGTGTGTTTAATGTAAATCACTTACAGGATGAATTTAGGATACTATCCTGATGCCCAAAACCATTCATGCTGGATTCTGATCATCACCCCACCTGTAACAATATCCTGTCTTTCCATAAGGCCCCAATTGATCAGACTGAATACAAAGTGTATTTTGAATGGATTGGTTCCTTTTCCATTGACTTTCTCCTCCGAAATTGTTCTAAGTCCACCAAACCAGAGAGAAGCAAAACAGAAGAGACATGCAGGGGACTCTGGGTGTATTTTGGGTGGTAAAGTATGGGACCTTAATTCACTTCAGATCCTTCCCATTCTGATGAAGTTTAGGCAAAGTTAAACCCCAGTGATTCAGGTTTGTGATCCTAGGAGACACAAGCAACCGCAGTGTTTGCCGAGATCTGAAAGATGCCCAGAATGTAAACAGGAAGGTCTGGTACTTCTCAAACTCGGAGCTCCCCAAACATCCCTGTGCAGCCTTAAGGAAAACTGGCAAAAAAAGAAAAAACTGCTCGGAAAACCTGCGCGCAGGAATCCAATGAAACCCCTGCCCGTGGGAGGAAAGGCGGAGGAGGGGTGGGGAGGAGGAGGGGTGCGCAAGGACCTGAATGAACACACGAAACCGGGAGAGGGAAAGGGATCCTTGAGCTGGACCCCACCTTCCCCCTCCCAGTAGCAAAGAGCTCAGTCAGCACTAGCTGGTGACTCCCCAAAAGAAGCCCCCGCTGCTCAGCACTGAGCCTATTCCCTTCCCTTTTCCTGCCGCTGAGCCTGGCCAGAAGCGCCGCAGCGGTTGAGCGCTGGCGGCAGAGTCGGTGATGGACCCCGGGGCGGCAAAGTTAGGGTGGGTTTTTTTTTCCCTCTCCTTCCACTAGCATCCAGCAGCTGTCACGATATCGAATCGCCCGAGCGATTCAAAACCACAGGCGAGTCCAGCAGCAGCGGAGGGAGGGAGCGGGGAAGGCGGCTGGGACGGGAGGGGAGAGCCGCGCGGTCCCGAGGCAGCGAGCGGGGAAGAGCCCGGAGCCTGCCCCGGGGCGCGGCCCT